TGTCTGTCTGTTTGACCGACTATGTTTATTTATGATTACCTGTATGAGTGTGGATAGGGATTATTTGCTTGAGTGAGGGAAATGCACCAGTGGCTACAGCACTGGGAAATATGACTTCCCTTCTGCAAACTTTAACTGCCTATAGATCCTCGGGGAGTGGTGGATCTCATGAGTGTCTCCTCTTCCATGTTAGGATGTTGATAGGCCTGGTTGTGTTGTGAGGTATCCATGACAGAAGACCACTTGGACACTAATTCAAGCCAATAGGAAGTCTTTATTAGATGCCCAGTGACTATACTGGGTGCTTTGGATTGTAGTCTACAGGGTTCACAGTTGGATAAGACTGTTGAAGATTTTTGTCCCCTAACACCCTGCCTAGCATCTCCAGAACTACTGAAAATAGTCACAATGGAGGGAGCTTCCAGCTCAGTTCCAACTTGATTTCTTTATATTTTGCAACAAACATTCATTATGTTTCCATTAGTAGAGTCCTATTAGCTAATTCTAGTGACAACCAAGAGAAATTCAATAATCAGTAGGCAATAATCAATCTATTAATCCATCATCGTACTAAGATGGGATCATCATGCTAAGAGATTTTCATATTTTATATAATATGCTTACAGCATAGCATGATAGTATTACAAGAACTAAAGAAGTCTGCCCTGAAATTTTCCTGAATATGGAGACATTAAAGAGTTTTCTCAAGGGCAAGAAATAGTAAAAGCTTAAACTCATAATGGTTAATTTCCAACATATTTCTCATGTTAAGTTAAATTGTATTTCAAATGCCATTTATTAAGATATTTTTCTGGGTCAGCTTTGTATTTTGCACAAATCATTTCATTTAATCCTCCAGGGACTATTTGCAGAAAGTATTCAATCACAGCATGTATGTATATCAGCATTCTTAAGTAACCGCACTATAAAAAGAATTATGACATCTGAAACCCAGAGAAAATTTTACAATTCTACAGAATGGTTAGGTAGCCAAACACTAATTTAAAGCCAACTTATGATGCAAATGTTGCCTAGGGTGGAGTATTAGCTTGGTGTTTCCAGAGCTATGGCCTCCTACTTGAAGAATTGAAATAAAGGATCACAAGGAGTGCCAAGTAACCTGGAAATTTTATTCAAAACAAAGAAATGTTGGAGGTCAGGAAAATAAACTGTTAAAACTGTCACCAGGCCACTGAGTGAAGGTACTGAAGGGACTCACATCTTCCATTTCTAAAATATGTGCAAAAATAAGAAATCAGTCATATTTAATAAATGAGTTCTTTCAATCTAGGAGTAAGTTTGCATGCTAGGAAACCTTGTTTTAATGTCTCCAGAATGACTCTTATCGAAATACTTCTGGCTATTCAAGTGATATAGCATACAGGATGATATTGCTTTACCAGTCTAGCACACATTTATTTGTAGTAATTTTTCATATCTAAACTGTTAAAAATGGAACATAAGATATAGGAATTAATCTTCAAAATGACATACTATTGGCATTTACAAATTTTTAAACCATATCCACACTTTGCTCCAGTGCATGGTCCTAGTACATAGAAAATCTCAGTAAACCCGTAGATTGAAGGTATTATGTTTTGGATATGATCTGTCCTTCAATGGCAATGAGATAACAGCTTCTTCTTCAGACATAGAGATATCAGGAAATGATGCAACATTTAGGCGGTGGGGCCTAGTGGAAGGAAGGAAGTTCACTGGAGGAGGTTCTATTGAAGAATATTGCCAGGGCCCTGCCCCCTCATTCTCCTTTCTCTTTCCTGTCATCATGAAATGTTAGCACTGTTCATCCATTCCCTATAATGTGCTCCCTATAATGTTAGGTTCAAAGCATAAGGACCAAGTGGCCATAGACCAAAACATCTGACATGACAAAATAAATTATTACTCTTTATAGTTGATTTACATACCAGCTAAAGGAAGGCATCCTTATGAATTCAGATTAGCAGAGTCCAAAGGAATGTGGTCCTCAGGGACTAGAACAAAGAAGAATTTATACTCAGAGGTTTTCCTAGACAGCATCCAGGAATGAGTCTTAGAAGTCAAGAGTGAACAGACACTTGGTTACCAAGAAAGTCTGCCAATATCTTGAGAAAACAATGTCAAAGCCTTGAAGTGTCCTGTTGGGCCATTGAGGCTCAGCCATGAGTTCTTGAGCATCAGAAGAAATATGTGGAGTAGTGGGATCCTAATAAACTATGGAAAATGATCTACTGCTGAAACATCAAGGGAAGTCAATTCCCAATCCCTCTTGTTTCTTCTTTCTGAAGTGTGTTGCCCATTCCTAGTCTCCATTTGTTTTGCTTTCTCTGGGGCAATTGTCAAATCTGAGTCACCACCTTGGGGAAGTCCTACTTAATGTCCACAGTTGTAGAAGGATGTTCACTGTTGCCTGATTCTCTGACCTGTACTTGTTTCAATTCCACCATTCACCAACATTCAGGAAAATTACTACTTCTTTTTCTGTTCTGCTGTGCACTGAAAAGATGTAAGAGCTACATCTTTTTCACCAAGTAGACCCAGTGTAGGAATATGAAAGTACTTTCTTGTCAAAGAGAAAATTTACAGAATAAATATGTCATCTAGTTATTTTTCTAATAACTCTTTCTTCTGTAATGTGCAACACACAGTAGGAAATGAAGCGCTGATAAGAAAATGAACAAGGGATTTTCTGTCACTATTATGTCATTACAGAAGCGCTGATAAGAAAATGAACAAGGGATTTTCTGTCACTATTATGTCATGCATAGTTGGATGGTTCTTCAAATGCAAACTTAAGCTAATAACTGTTGTCTTTTCACCTCATGGAAGCATTTGGGAGGATCACCTGAGACATTTGTGTGAAGTGTTTTGTTAAAAAAAAAGAAAAGAAAAAAAAAACCTGTCCATCAGTTTGTTATTATCACTGGGGATGGGGGAAGTAGAAATCAATGCCAAAAATCAGATAACATCAAATCTACTTTCAGAAGAAACAATTACAAAAGGATAACTTAATTTCACTTATTGTTGGAAATGGTTTGGGTGGGTTTTACTCCACACCATTAATGCACAGTTACTCAGCTCATGGTGGAAACAGAATATAGTTCTTTGAATTAAAAACTTTTGCATTTTGAGTGAAAATGCAGGAGGTCTGCACTTTTCAAATAAATTTGATTAGAGGCAAGTCCTTTGAATATCTTCTATTTTACAGATTGCAGTCTTTGGAAGGCATTTATTCAAAACAGATTCTTGGATTTTACATGAGGCTTAGGAAGGCTTTGAAGACAACCACAAAATGAACCAGGAGGTTATTTCTTATTTTGCTATTTGTTCATTTGAGAGTTTTTCTTCTCTAATGGTATACTCTTTCACACTGTTCCCACTGGTCAGCTTCTTGAGAGGAACAGAAAAGACAGAAATGAATAATTATTATAAAATGAATTTATTAGACTGCCTTACAGGATACCCATTGGATAGTTCAACAATGGTCTGGTACACACTAGTGAGGTCAGGAATCCTGTGGTTGCTCAGTCCAAAACCAGGTGTCTCAGTAGCCTCCATCTCGTGCTGAAATCACAAAAGATTCCTTGAGAGCTAGCTGTTTTGTTTTAAATACACCTTGGAAGGTCAAGGCAGTTGGATTCTGATGGTAGTGATAAATGACAGCAGAAGCAATGGGGTAAATGGACCTATGATAATGTGCTTTTTCCTGAGACCTTTTCACATCTGTGCTGCTGCAACTAAAAGATGCTGGCCCCTCAGTTAAGCCTTCTTGATAATTCTCTGAAAGAGCCATCCAAAAAGCTGTCTCTTAATTGATTCTGGATCCAATGGAGTTGACAATTCTCTTTGGTAACTTTGAGATACATCATGTCCCACTTGACACTTTAAGGAGTATTGACAAATTACAGCCTACAGATTCGTACTGCATGTCTTGATGATACTGTTTTTCTTATATTCTCTTTTAACTGGTTGGGTGATTAAGAAGTTCTCCAAAGGGAGATAGAAAAACAAAGAGAGGGAGGGGAAGAGAGACTGACAGAAAGAGAGAGCAGAGGGAAGAAGGCAGGGCGAGAGGGGGAGAGGAGGGAGAGAGACCAAGAGAGGGTGACTTTGCTCACCACACAGAAACTTCTGTCTACAGTAAGTGTGAAGTCTTCACTTTGTCACTGATGTGGTGTGGGCTTGGCTGAGGGTGCCAGAGATGCAGCAACGAGTCTTCTCACAGCTCCACAGGAAGTGTTAAGACAGAGTAGACATCTCAGCTGCCAGAAAAGCAGAATCTTTTTTGGGCTATTTATAGACAAAAATTGTTCTATCATCAGGAACACATTTGAAACCAGGCTCTTTCTCAAGGACTGTCCCTGTTCTTTGAATTGCCTCTGTGTGGTCACTCTTCTTCCAGAACTTCTACTTTATAAATTTCTACTTCAGAGTCTAGAAACCACCCTGATCCTATTGTCCTCCAGAGAGCTTCTTGTTCTTTCCCAGGTTCTATCCACTATATGTTAATTCCAAATCAACAGATTCCTCCACCATGGCAGCCTTAGACCTGAGGATGATATGCCTGGCTTACTGTCACTCTGGTACTATTTCCATTGTTATTGTGATTGTTGTCAATACTCACAGAAGTTACTATTCCAAATCCTAACATTTGTTTCATTGCCTACTCTCTTCTGGCATTGCTTTTCTCCACCCTAAACTATTTCTGACACTCCTTCCATTTTAATCAAAAATGCCCAAAACAGAAATCTTTCTAAAAGCCTAAATCCAAGCACTTTGATTTCTCATAGCATCCCTTTCCTGCTCTGTGCCCTCTTACTAGGGCTATGACTTGCTATTTCAGCCTGTTTATGTATTGAAGCCCCTTAATTATAATTACTTATTTACTTTCTTCCTTTCTTTCCTATGATTCCATTCTCAGCCTTAATGACTCCCTTTTATTGCACATATGTCAAAGCTCCAATCCTGACTATCTTTGACTCCCTGTCTGTTTCTGCTGTGCCTTCTCAGATGAACACTTTGTTTTGTTTTGTTTTGTTTTGTTTTTCAAGACAGGGTTTCTCTGTATTGATTTGAAGCCTGTCCTGGCACTCACTCTATAGACCAGTCTGCCCTTGAACTCACAGAGATACGATTGCTTCTGCTTCCCAAGTGCTGGGATTAAAGGCGTGCACCACCAATGCCTGGCTTCAGATGAACAATTTTTTGGTAAAGCCAATTAGTTGAGTTGACTCACACATTCATGATTAATGACTTTAACTGGAGTGTTAATGCCATCCAACCCAAACATCTATTTCCTATTCCATTCAATCCCCTATTCTCTTAAATGACTACTTCCTACCTACTCTTTTCTTCTGAAACTTAAGGCTTCTAATTGCTTTTCACCATCTTCATTCTCAGGCTGATTAATCAATCTGAAAAGAAATTCTCAAGTTTCTCTCATTTGTAAACACCATGTGTTCCATCTGTTACACCAGAACTGCCTGTGCTACAAGTGAGGACAACTCCTCTTTACCTTTTGTGTTAAATTCTCTCATCCTCTGCTATTTAAGGACACAATTTGAATCAGTTCTCTGCTTTTATATCTGAATTGCTAGTTGTTTTCTATTAGGATTTCTTCCTTGTTGTTTCAAGTGCTGTATTTTTTGATCTTGAAAAACCCACCCTTACCTTACCCAACTTCCCTTATAAGATAGTAGTCTATTTCTCTTCTTTTGGAGTTCTTTGTGTGAATCCAAATAGTTGTCAGTACAATGTTTTCTCCATCTTCCTTCTTGATAACTTTTAACAGTCATGTTTATATCCTCCCATTTTACCACAGCTGGGCTTTTTCAGTTGATCATCTGACATGTCCTAAATGGTCAATCCCAGTTTTCAGCTATGAGACCTATAGGCAAAGTTCACAAAGTTGATCTTTCTGCTCCTTGAAGTGCCACCACTTGATACCTGGAACACCACATGCTTCTGTTTGTTCTACTAACTCACTGACTAGTAAAAAACAATAGTAAAGGAAAGTACTAAGACTTTCAAGTGAAATTGACAACCTTTACATTCATTTAGTAATTTTTTTTATTACTTTAAGCACCTTAAAGTTGTCTTTTTGTTGTTGTCAGCAGTTTTTTTTTTTTTCCAGATTTATTATCTGTACAGTGTTGTGCCTACATACCAGAAGAGGGCACCAGATCTCATTATGCATGGTTGTAAGCCACCATGTGGTTACTGGGAATTGAACTCAGGCCCTTTGGAAGAGCAGTCAGTGCTCTTACTCTCTGAGCCATCTCTCCAGTCCCCTTTAAAGTTGTCATAATCAACTAATATATTTAAGTTTGGTAGAATTCACCTGGTAACCAGGCACAATGGCTAACACAAATTGGACTACAAGATTCAGTGTTGTTGCTGTTGTTTTGCCATTATTTTGTTTATAAGAGAGATAAAGAACATGAGTTCGGTGGATAAAGAAGGGAGGAGTTGGAGGAATAGAAATCATATGATCAAAATATATTGTGTGAAATACCAACAAAAGATGCAAAGATAAAAAAGAGTACATAAAGTATGAAGCAACAGGGTTAAATTGGAGGGGATGGGATGTAAAAGTATTTGATCAAAGTATATTGTATGTATTCATTAAGTTCTCAAACAAACAAAATGCCACTCCTTGTCTTGGTGGTCTTTTTGATGGATGTTAAAGCAGATAGATTAAATATTTGATTTATACTTTATGGTGTAACATCTTCTACCTCTTTTCATTTCAGCATAATCATGCCCTTATAAATAGCATTTATCCAACTGTTTCCCTTTTTTTAGTCTGACAATCACTAAATAAAGTGGTTTTGTCTTTTTAGCTTTATTGTGACTACTACTGTGAATGGGTTTGTGTTTTTTACAAGTCTTCAGTGATCTTTGTTCTTTTATTATTCAATATATCACTAAGACATTGTGATTTTGCTATTCAGTGTCCTGCACAACATTCCAAGCAGGTAGATACTTTGTGTATGAACATTTTTTCACCTTAAATTTTTTTCTTATTTGTCTGATTTTGTTTGCTGATAAAAGCACCTGTTGGACTGCTGTTGTAGTATATGGTGTGTGTTAGGGGCGTTCAGAAACCTGTATGGGTGTGTTTGGGGATATGGGTAACATCAGAATGACTTCCTCAATCACTTCTCAGCCTTAGTTTTTGAAAATGGTCCCTCACAGAAGCTAAGTCAGGATTAGTGTGGGTGGCCTGAAAGCTCAAGGAATCAACACAACTGGCTACAGCTACACATCCCCACGTATGGCGTTAACATTTTCTGTGCATTTGCATCCATCTCTCCTCATTGTCATCTCTGGGAAAGTAATGCCATGCTTTCTGTCACAATAAAGTACATTGTATTTTCTATAATCCAACATGAATAAAATATAGAGAATGAATCATTTTTATTTTATTTCCTTTACTAAACATAATGGTTTTCATACTAATCTAGTTTGTGTGTTTTGATTATTAGTTCTCTATGCTGTGTTATGATCCATTCAATAGATCTTCAACAATGGCCCTTTGTTTGGTTTGGCTTATTTGCTTCATCTATCTGTTGATAGCCATTTGGAATGTATCTAGTTTTGGACTTTGACAAGTAAAGTTTTACAGCCACTCTCTTTATTCTTGGACATGACACCTATGTTAGTGTGTCTTGAGTAAAGGCCAGGGCTGGAATAGCTAGGTACACGGTGAATGCATATTTAACTTTTTATGAAAGCGCTGTACTATTGCAAAGCTATACAGTATTTTGTTTTCTCAACAATGAGTAAGAACTGTACCTACCTCACACACTGAGTGAAATTTTTTTTAGGATTTTGTTACTTAAGTGTAAACTATTCTGATAAGTGTTTACGGAATTTCACTGTGCTTTTAATTTGCATTTCTATAATTCTGAAGGAGCTGTAACATTTCTTTCTGTACTGATTTGCCATTCTCAAATCTTCTTTAATTACTGAAATGTCTACTCAAATCATTTGTGGATTCTAATTGGGTTGCTTGTGTCATTCAGTTGTAATGAGTCTGTCTTATATTTTTCATGGAAGGCTTTCTCTTAGATAAATATCCTAAACTTCCTCTCAGCCCTGTATTGACCCTTCATTTTCTTACAGACACCTGAATGGAAGATCAGAAACCAAAGCCATGTATGTCTTTCCTGAAATTACCCAGCTAATATGTGTCAGGTCTAGGATTTAAATTTCAGTCTTTTTTGCTTTACACACAAGAACTCTCAGTTACTATGTTATTTTCTTAAAGAAAAAAATGGAATAAGTAATTTATCTCAACATAATATTAACAAACGTCTTCTATTTTGTAGTTTCAGTTCTTGAGAATTTAGTTTAATGAACAACGCATGGCTCCTGTGAACCTTCAATCAAAGACAAATATGGGGAGGCAGGTACAACACAGAAAGATGTAATAAGTGCTCAATGGAGAAGAACAGTCCAGAACAAGCTAGGTTACTATATGGAACTGTTGAGAAAATTAAACATGTTTAATGTTTGCTTAGAGTCTGAAAAGATACAAGTCCAGGTATCAAAAAAGAAGAATCCTCTTCAACATTAAACTAACATTCTCAAAGTTGAGAGAATAGTTGGTATTCTGGCTAGTTTTATGTCAACCTTACATAAGTTGGAGTCATCTCAAAGGAAGAAACAATTGAGAAACTGCCTGCATAAGATCGGTCTGAAAAAACAAAAACAAAAACAAAAACAAAAACAAAACAAAAAAACAAACAAAACAAAAAAACAAAACACTGTCAACAAGACAAAACTGCTCCCTACAGAATGGGAAAACATCTTCACCAACCCCACATCTGACAGAGGGCTGATGTCCAAAATACAAAAAGAACTCAAGCAACTAGAAATAAATCTACCAAATAATCCAGTTAAAACTGGGGTACAATAGAGAATAGAAAATTCTCAACATAACAATCTCAAATGGCAGAAAAACAATTAAAGAAATGCTTAGCATCCTTAGTCATCAGGGAAATGCAAATCAAAACAAATCTGAGATGCCATCTTACACTGATCAGAATGGCTATGATCAAAAACACCATTGACACCTTATGCTGGAGAGGATGTGGAGAAAGGGGAACTACTCCTCCATTGCTGGTGGTAGTGCAAGCTTGTACAGCCACTGAGGAAATAATTATGGAAATTTCTCAGAAAATTAGGGATGACCCTACCTTAAGACCCTACAATATCACTGTTGGGCATATAACCAAAGTGGGTACATTCATACCACAAGGACATTTGCTCAACTATGTTCATAACAACATTGTTTGTAATAGCCAGATATTGGAAACAGCTTAGATGCCCCTCAACTGAAGAAAAAGAAAATGTGGTACATTTACACAATTGAATACTACTCAGGGTTAAGAAACAATGACATCTACTATATACAGATGATAAATCCAATGAGAAAGAAATCAGGGAAACATCCCCTTTCACAATATCCACAAGCAACATAAAATATCTTGGGGTAACACTAACCAAAAAAGTGAAAGACCTGCACAATAAGAACTTTGAGACTTTAAAGAAAGAAATTAAAGAAGATACCAGAAAATGGAAAGGTCTCCCATGCATAGTAAAAATGGCAATCCTGCCACAAGCAATCTACAGATTCAATGCAATCCCCATCAAAATCCCAACACAGTTTTTCACCAATATTGAAAGAATAATACTCAACTTAATATGGAAAAATAAAAAACCCAGGATAGCCAAAACAATTCTTTACAATAAAGGATCTTCTGGAGGCATCACCATCCCCGACTTCAAGCTCTACTATAGAGCCATAGTTCTGAAAACAGCTTGGTATTGGCACAAAAATAGACAGATAGACCAATGGAATCTAATTGAAAACCCTGATATTGACCCACACACCTTTGAATACCTCATTTTTAACAAAGGTGCTAAATCTATACAATGGAAAAAAGATAGCATCTTCAACAAATGGTGCTGGCACAATTGGATTCTGACATGCAGAAAATTGCAGATAGATCCATATTTGTCATCATGCACAAAACTTAAGTGCAAATGGATCAAAGATATCAGCATATATATTTGTCATCATGCACAAAACTTAAGTTCAAATGGATCAAAGATATCAGCATAAATCCAGCCACACTGAATCTTCTAGAAGAGAAAGTGGGAATTACTCTTGAACAAATTGGCACAGGAGACCGCTTCCTGAACATTACAACAGTAGCACAGACATTGAGGTCTGCAATTAATAAATGGGACCTCCTGAAACTGAGAAGCTTCTGCAAGGCAAAGGAAACAGTCAGTAGGACAAAATGACCACCCACAGAATGGGAAAAGATCTTCACAGGATCTGACAATCCAGGCAATGGTGGAGAGGATAACCTAAAAGCCCTTCCCCTAAAATGATATTGATGACTTCTCTTTATGTAATCCTAGAGCCCTTATTCAGTGGCTGATGGAAGCAGAGACAGACATCCACAGATATACACTGAGCTGAAATCGGGAATTTATTTGAAGCTTTCCAACATTAACTATACCAAGAGATTCTCTAGCTTTTATTGTTGTCCCTTCAAGATATGGATGTGTGTATTTCTAAATATTTTATAAAATATTCTAAGTTGCTAAAGGGGTGTTATTTTATGGTTATCCATGACTCTAATATAGAATGTTGTTAAATACTTGGATTTTGATTCATTTGTCGTTTCTGCAAATGTGAAAACTGTTGTAGAAATGGACCTGAGAAGACCTTTCTCAAGAGTAACATTTGAATTAAATGCAACAATAGGAATTCCTCCTAAGAGTAGGCTCCCTAGACAATGACCACAGCAAGGGTGAAAGCAGGAATGATCTTGGTGAGTTTTTGAATCAGCTAAAGAAAGTGAAGC